TCTACATCACAGGCCTGAAAGATGCTCTGTGAGATGCAGGTTGTGGTGAACCCCCTGAACCACAGTGGGTGAAGCCTGGAGCGCGGGAGGGGGCAGGTATAAATAGGACCCTCAGTGCAGGGGGAAATGAAACAGCTGCATCATCAGGACACAGACTGAGGTTCCGGAACGGAGAATTGTGACGTTTTGACCTTTATGAGATTCACATGTTGTGAGAACACAAGATCTGCAGATGAGACGCGTCGCAGGTGATATAAACAGGGGGTTTCGGAGGAATACGTGTCAGCGGAAGTGGCTAAATTTAGTCATAGGGTGTGTGGCCAGTGTGGCTTAAAGCCGCATGCATGGGCCCTAACAGGAGTATAAAGTTGGTCTAATGCTGCCTTTTACTACTCTTTTTGTTTGACTTTTATTCTTAAACCTCAGATTATGTCTTAGATTTGTTATTGCCTGCATTTGATAAGTAACCTCAATCTGCTAATGCATGTACTTATTTCAGCTACTGAATGATTTGTTCTCTGTAATGATTTTTAACTTGATAACACACCTGATGTCATATTTTATTATTACATACTGAGTCTTTCACTGATTGAACATTTTCATCATTTCTTTAAAACTATTCTGTTACATTTTCATTCTTTTTCTGTTCCACCTTGCATCCAAATTACATATTTAATACATGTGTTCAGGTGTTTTGATGAACAAAAACTTTACATGTCTGTCAGTGAGTGGTCTATTTCTTTATTATTTGACCGAGAAGCTTTGCTGTGCACGTCTGTAAGAGATGATAGACGACATAATGTATCTCCAGTGTTTGTGTCTATATGAGCTGTGCACTGCTGCATTATTGTGAGCAACACAGCTATACAAACTATTTAAGCTATATGAATATGAAGCAACAAAAAAGAGTTATATAGACTGTGTGATTCAAATAATCACAAAAGCAATAAGAAGTTTGCAGCTGATTAACTACAACATTTGCACACAGAGAGCAGTGTTCAGCAGCATGAAATGAAAGAGTTCAAATCTTCTGGGTCATCTTGTGTGTTTGTCAGAGGCCTGCGGGCGAAGGGTTGACCGGAGAGAAAGGGACGAGCTAGAGCACCTCCTGAATCACTGCTGTGCTAATGGCTCCACTGTATGTATAACACAAAAAATTTGAATAAACCAGTTCCCAACCAGAAACATGCTCAGCACGGACTCGCAGTCAGCTGATAATATGTTAACATCCGATATGACGACAAGTCAACGTTTCTGAGGAGTCCTGTTTTCCTTCCCTGGAACATGTGATTGAAGCTGTGTGATGTTTGCAATGTGGACATTTAAATCAGTGTCCCTGTTATTTCACTCATGAAAATAGATGTCATCTGAATCATTTATTTCAGTCTGACAGTATTTTTGTACACGTTGTGATCTGCAGTAGAATTTACAATAAATGTGGGTGAGTCAGCTCACAGCCTGTTGTCCTTAGTAGTCTCTGTAGTCTTTGTCAGCAGATGTTATCAGAGGAGAAAAGCCTTTCATCATCTCCATCTCACCGACTGTCAACCACAGACCTCGTTCCCCGCCTCTGTAGATGGACTGCAAAGATAACAGGAATCTCCCCTCTCATTTTCCATCTGGGTATCAGTGCAGAGATCTGGTGTGATCGGATCTCAGGGCCACAGATCATCATAAATACACATGAGCCCAGAGCAGCCTCACACACAGGAGCTGGACGGGACCAGACCAACACCATGAAGCTGAGACTCTGCACTCTCCTGGTGAGCATCATCTTCATCCTTTCATATGAACAAACGACACAGCGGTGCAGTGATTGTGAGCAGTCGGTTATTAGCTGCTTCCAGTCTCTGAGTTATCGCTCACATCTATGACTTTATCAGCGTTACATGAGTAAAAATGAATAATGACTAGACAGATATTCATTAGGTCAGGGTAAAGGATCAGTAAAAACTATCACACATCAAATAATAATGATTTAAAATCACCAAGAGACATTAAAGAATTTAATTTAAGGGAAGACTGCAGCTCATTTCATTTAAAGAGAGCTGCTTGACAGGCATTGAAGGCAGTTTGGCCTGAGTTGTGGTAGAAGCCGACACGCACTGTATAAAATTGTCATCTGCATAAAAATTGACATTAAAATGTTGATCTGGTAGAATAACATTATTTAGACATAATGTAAAGAGCAGTGGTCCTAGAATAGACCCCTGTGGCACTCCATTACAAATGGTTAGTGGATGTGACTCAACACCATCAGCAACAACAGCCTGGGTTCTACAGGTAAGATTAGCATAAAACTGTTTAAGAGCAGTGTAACTAAAACTTAAAGACTGTGATTTATTGAGTAAGATTTTATGATTTACAATATCAATTGCTTTTGAAAGGTCAAATATCCAGTATGGAGGCTCTATCATCAGCTGCTGAAACTGCAGCTGTGCCTGTCTAGACTGTTCTGGCTGGAGCAGGTTCTGTGAGTCAGGTATCACATAATTGATAGTTAACCAAGGATTTTAACATTTTTGCCAGAAATGGGAGCTTAGATATTGGCTGATAATTACTGAGGTCAGTGATATACCCACCCTTATGCAGGGGCAGGACACAGACACTGTTAAGAAGTACTGATTAAAGAAATGAGCTAAGTGGAAACAAGTGGCTGGGGCACTGAAGTGAAGAAGGAAAGGGTCCAGATTATCTGAACTAACAGTGTTAGAGCTTTTTGTTCTCATTAGTGCTTCATGAACATCTGCACCATTGACCAGAGTGAAAGAGAGTTTCCAGTCTAGAGCGGCCTCTGGTGGACAGGGGAGGCATTTCTCTACAGTTGGAACAGGAGACACTTACAGTGGTCATCTCTCCTCTCCTCAGGTGTGTTGCAGTGTATTGTGGGTGGCCATGTCCTCCTCCTCCACGGATAAGACGTCTCCTTCTGTTGCTGCTCCTCCTGGATGTGACTCCATGTTGGCATTCTCCTCGGGCGTCTCCTCCTGGTCTGAAGGAAACGGGAACATCTACAGCAGATCTCTGTCCCCATGGAGCTGGAGGTCGTCCTGACCACACACAGGCCTAACATGAGTGAATGAGTGAGAGAGCGGATGAATGTACAAAGTACTGATAGATAAATGAGCGAACAAAGACTTTATTCAGGAGTGGAAACAAACTACATTTACTCCCACACTGAAGTCCTATTTTGACATATTTGATCTTGTGTATTTCCATTTTGTGATACGTTACACTTTGACCCTGTTACATTTACATGCAAATGTTGTACATTTCATTCCTACAGTTTATAGCTGCCTCTACCATGTGGCTTTTCAATGAATATGGTTTATAGATTTTAGTAAACATATCACTTTGCTAATTCACAGGGTGAGAACACAAATGGGAATAAAAAGGTTCAGTGGTCCTTGTAGATGTTCAGTTTACATTTCATGTGTTCATTTCTGTGTTAAACCAATAAACGGAGCTGGATTTGTCTGTGTATCTGGTCTAGAACTAGAAACACACCTCTGATTTTGTTGCACTATAACAACAGTCTGTTGTTGTGTGTTCAGGTCGTCCACAGTGAAGAACCGGATCCCCGCAACCCTCTGGGAGGCCAAGTGCAAGAACAGCTCTTGCTCCAGACCGAACCCCAGTCACTGGGATGGATACAACCTGAACTCTGTCCCTGTCTACCAGAACATTCTGGTCCTGACCCGGCAGGATGGGGGGCACTGCTACAACGCGTCGTACCTCTCTGTGGCTGTCGGCTGCACCTGCATCAGGGCCAAAACCAACCAAGACTGAAATGGTGTGAAGTACCAGCCTGGAACTGAGACAAATGGGACTCAATAAAAATCTCTATTTACTGATTAACTTGATTATTTTTGATGATCCCATAATTTGCTGCATGGCTGTGTTGAACAGTGTCATAGTGTGTCAGTAACCCTAACCCTAATACCTAACACATGAATGAAACTGGCCATCATCTATAGCGCAGAGTGAGGTAATGAATCAACTTCACACCGCTGATAAACAGTCTGAACACAAACTGCAGTCTCTACAATGATCACACAGTTGAATCAATAAAAACTGAACAGCACCACCTTCAGGAAAGAGGATTTACTGCAGGGCTGTTGGACATAGTATAAGGCAGGTGTTCCTAATAAACTGACCACTAAGTGAAAACTTTTTAGAAATTTATTAAACAACACAATTTTTCATTTACAGAAGCATTCACACCCTTATTTCCAGACCTTATAGAAGGTTCAGTCTCTACCAGCTGTGCACACCCGGACATGGGCAGTTGATCCCGTTCTTCCTGCAGGTCCTCTCAGGCTCCGTCAGCCTGGAAGGGAGGTGTCTGTGCACTCTTCAGGTCTCTGGGGTCTATGTCTGGACTTGAACTGGGCCCCTCAGGGACAGTCAGAGCCTGGTCCTGAGGCTGCTCCAGTGTCTTGGCTGTTTGCTTCAGGTCACTGTGGTGCTGAAAGGTGAACCATCAGCCCAGTTTCATTTTTGCTTCCAGGACTCTCTGTGTTTGTCTGCATTCCTCCTGCTCTCACATCCTTCAGATGCAGTGAAACAAAGTCCAGCAACTTCACCAGCCTTTCATCACAGTGGCTTCTGTGCAGCCTCTCGACTATAAAGGTCAGACTGATGGAGAAGCTGCTGACGTGCTCGTCCCCCAGCAACTTCTCCATCTCTGCAGAGGACATCTGAAGCTCTGTCAGAGAAACCCCTGGGTCCTTGATCTCCTCCCTGACCACAGCCCTTGTTGTTACTCAGTCAGGCCGGGCACTGACTCTAGAAGAGTGCTGCTGCTTCCAGACTTCCTCCGCATCCCAGTTACCGAGGCCGCTGTGCTCCTGGGGACACTCAGAGCTATAGACATGGTTTGATCCCCTGGTCCTGATCTGGGCCTCACCACAGAGTTCATGCTCTGGTTTATGCCGCAGCAGAGGCTCTGCAGAGTTTCAGTCATAACAGATTTCAGTTTTTAATTTTAATACATATGACAGTTACCCATATTCTTTGGTAAGCGACTGATTGTTCAGCCTATAAAATCTCTCCTGTTTTCATTATGTTTTATTTTTGAGAGGAAACTGCAGAGGCCAAAATCCCAGCAGCACAGATTTACAAACATCTGCACATGAAACTTAAATGATCTACATCACATATTGCACAAATAAATAGGCAAAATACAGTAAAATGAACATTATATTTTAACTGCACAGATGATGTTGTTATCGCTCTTTCACAGTCCTCCACAGGCCTCGCTCCACCAGTCAAGCAGTAAGTATCAGTTACAGTGTTTGGGTGGAGCTGCTGATAGCGCTCCAGTTTCAGTTTGAGTTGGGCTTCATCTTGGGCTGATAAACTTTTACAAGTTTATCAGCCCAAGCTGCTTGTGATAAAAACTGTCATAAAAAAATAAAAGCAAGCCTCTGTCTTTTATTATCACTGGCCGTATATGTGATGGCAGTGTTCCCTGAAAGTGACACTAACAGTTTCATGCAGAATTTGGTGCAAAATATTCTGTTGTGACACCATAAACTATGTTTTTCTTTTGATGGAGCTAGTCTAACAGTTTCCACCTGTTTCCAGACTTTGTGCTAAGCTAGGCTAACAGTTTCCCCTGTTTCCAGTATTTGTGCTAAGCTAGGCTATCAGTTTCCCCCTGTTTCCAGTCTTTGTGCTAAGCTAGGCTAACAATTTCTGCTTTTTGTGCCAAGCTGAGAAAAACATGTTTGATCTGTGTACTGGATGCGCAGAGATGAAACTGAAGTTCATCTTCTTGTTTGTCTTGGGAGAAGAGCAGGATGGAGTTTGTCGAGTCTTTTCAGTTTCAGTGTGTGCACAGTATAAACAATGTGTGTGTCTTTAAGGAGCTGAGAGCAGCTCAGTGTTTGTTCAGTCTGTCAATGAGTAAACCTGCAGCAGGAACAACTCCTCTCATACAGTATGTGAAGCTCATCTCAGCTGTCTGCACAAAGGTACGCTTTGCACACTTTCTTTCCACTTTATCTACTTTGTAACTACTTCAGAAACAGTATCTTGGTCTATCATATATGTGAAAATATTAAGACTAATAAAATTTATCAAGAACTATTTCTTTAAAATTTTCAAGATGACTTTAATGTATTGCCTGATAAATATTACAGAAATAAAGAATAACAATAAATAAACAAACACAGTAGTCTTTATAGCATAAACAACTTATGTATGTATAGTGTACAGTATGTAGTTTGGGCATTTTGTAGTACTTTGGCACTTGTTACTGCAAAGAGTTGAGACCTTACAGAAAAGAAGCTTCATTTTACCTGTGAGAAGTTCACATGATGTAAACACCTGGGATTTTCAAATATGAGAAAACAAACAGCAACTTTAAGTGAAAAATGATATTTAAGGCTCCATTTCACGTGTGACAGATTCATATCAAGGCAGATGTGGTTTTCAAACATTTCCTGTGTGGAGTGTTACACTGTGCACATGAAAATGAGTTTGACATGTGTAACCGGGGTATAATAATTACACAGAATGTAACCGGGATGTAATAATTTCACACGGTTACACATGCATGTTTTTTTTTTATGGTAAACCTGCAGGGGTTGACGGGAACACAACAAACCTCGCTGTTTAAGGGAGTCTTCTGAGTTAATAATTTGTTATCAGAACAGTAAACTCTGATCAAACTAAAAGTCATTGTATTATGTTATATCACATTACTTTGAGGGCGGTGCCACTAAAACACCCTGCTGGGTTTCTCCTGTGCACAGCAGACATATAGGACACTCAGCTCAACACGTTCTGCCTGGACTACTGCTAGTTAATTAAAATTCATTTATTGTTCTAATTCATTCAAATTTAGCATGTTAAAACATGAGCAGAGCGCTAATATGCTAGTTAGCATCATGTTTGGCATGCTAGCACAACCAATGGGCGCTAAACTCCTGCAGCTGTCGGGAGCAGTTTGGCATTTTGGTTCTATTCTAAGTTGGAGACTTAGATGTTCAGACTGATGGTTAGATTATCTTAGTATAAAGTCCACAAACAAGAGGAAACAACAAAAGTAATCAGTGCCGCCTACCAGCACATCTAAAGCTTGTTTGTTCATTTATGCCACACTATTTACACTACTTTATGCATTAAAGAAAGTGAGCTTTACAAGTGCTGGGAGGCAGATGGGGTTATAGCCAGAGCCAGGCTACCTGCTTTCCCTGTTTCTTTAGTTCTAGCTATAATAAACCAACCAGTTATTGGCTGAAGCCTTAATCCACATGTGACCGTTGTGTCAACCTTGTTGTCATGAAACAGATTAAGCATATTTCTAAGAAGGCCGAACACGTTTATAAATAAATATAATTTGGTTCACCTGTGAGAGTCTCTGTATATAAGGCAGTGCTACATGACGGTGTCAGTGAGTCTGTCTGCCATGTGTCTGTGTGCAGGAGCCAGTCAGGATGGTTCAACTGCTGCCTCAGGTCCCACTGGGCTGAAACTTAGACAACCAGGTAAAAACTGAACATGAACTGTAACAGCATGCTGCATCTGAGTCAGATTATTTATATTCTATGATTCAAGGCCTCTGCACACATTGCTTGGTACTTCATGGTATTTAGTCAGTTATCTTTACACAACGGTTGCAAAGCATCCATCCATCATCCATGCTGTTTATCCTGTAGCTGGTCCCAGTTGATACTGGCCGAGAACTGTGGTACATTCCCTTATTTGCTCGTTCCTCATTCCAAAAGCCTGAGGATCGAGGAGGCTGCTGGAGCAGCCATGAGCGAGGACACACAAGTGCACCCTTCACAGAAGTCTGTCGTGAACTGACACGCTCCTTTATTAAAAAGCCGGTGATTGGATGGTTCAGATGAAGGATCAGAGACTAGGATGTCTCCTGTCTCTAGCAACGTGTTTTCTCAAGGTCTTTCTCCTCTCAACAAGCGAGGGAAACATGGGTGGATGGAAGAGAAGTGGGATTCTATCACAGGTCTGACACTATGTGTACATCCCAAGTCTCTTATAAGCACCAACATTACCCTCACGCGCAACTTTTCATGCCCCGGTAATAGAGGAGAGAGGAGAAAGTGTTCATACCGACACGAGACCTCCTTTCCTCTATCTGAAGTGTCCAGTCACCGACTGATGTCTGATAAAGGGGCGTCTCGGTTCATGAAAGACTTCAGCTAAGGATACTCTAGTGTATCCTCACTCACGGCTCCTCCTGCAGCCTCCTCGCTCCTCGGAGCCAATATAAGAGGCTTGGCTTCTGGGTCGAGCGAGGATTGAGGAGTGATCATATAAGAGACTTGGGATATACCCATAGAGATGGACGACCAGTCACGCTCTCACTTCCTGTCACATCTTAACGCAACATGCTATCACAGTCCCCCTCTTTGTCCCGTCCTGGACTTCCTGCTACCTGTGCCTCTGGCCACTCCAACCTGTATGTACTGTGGCGTGTAAAGCTCCTGTCTGCCCGTCCCCTGACTAGACACAATACTGATCTGCACCACCAGTTTACTTCCTGAGCTGCCAGTTCTCTCTGCTGTGGTCACCCCATCAAAAACCTGTAACACATTCAGCACAATCACTCCTCCTGAGTTAAAAAAAAACTTAATTGTTTCAGTCATCCTCACTTTTTCTCTTTTCCTAATCACACTTATGTGAGTGTATGTGAACATTTACTGTAGGTGGAGCAGCTGTACACAGGTGGTGGCACAGGTAGAACACAGGCTTCGTCTTCATCATCTCTCATGTTATTGATCAGAGAGCCTGAAGCCTCTTTACATATTACAGCCACTAACTGGCCATATAAACCAGCAAAATTCAAATTTCAGAGCAGGCTTTGCTTCGCCATTTGTCTGTGACCACAGAGTTTACTGTTTAAATATCCTGCACACCATTCATCATTTCCGCCTGCGCCTGAAGGCAGCTCCTCAATTTGGATTTTCATGTTGACACAATATGAAGCCAAACAGGTACTTGCACTTTGAGTATTTGCATTTTGTGCTACTTTATACTTCTATTTCAGAGACATACTTTGTTTGTTACTGCACTACATTTATTTGACAGATAACAGGTTACTGCACTACATTTATTTGACAGATGTAGTAGTGGTGGAAGAAGTACTCAGGTCCTTTACTTACAAAAATTCAAATTTCAGAGCAGGCTTTGCTTCGCCATTTGTCTGTGACCACAGAGTTTACTGTTTAAATATCCTGCACACCATTCATCATTTCCGCCTGCGCCTGAAGGCAGCTCCTCAATTTGGATTTTCATGTTGACACAATATGAAGCCAAACAGGTACTTGCACTTTGAGTATTTGCATTTTGTGCTACTTTATACTTCTATTTCAGAGACATACTTTGTTTGTTACTGCACTACATTTATTTGACAGATAACAGATATAGTTATACTGTGAAGTACTTTACATCCTGGTGGGTAGCTGGTGGATTTCCCACCAGAATCCATAGAGTCTGATGGTTCTACTGGGTTTGGCTTGATTCATCTGATTCTGGAAAGGAACTGAAGTTATCAGGTACATGTAGTGCAGTAAAAAGTACATGGTCTGTCTCTGACATGGAGTAAAGTCACAGTATGAAGGAGCAGAACATGGAAGTACTCAGGTACAGTACAGAAACCTCATCATTTGTGCTTGAGTAAATGTGTGTGGTTACTTTTCACCACTGGTGGTTTCTATGGGCATGTTACTGATCTACTGAAACCACACACTTCTGACTTGTTGCCAGGTGCACAGGTGCACAGGTACAGCTCAGCGACCCAGCAGCTTCCCTCAGCCCAGAGTCCAAACAGATCAACTAGTTACCTACCAAGTGGAACAAGACTGAAGAGCAGTGTGTTCACGGGTGAGGAGGTCGGCCACAGTCAGTGCATCAGAACACATTCAGGAATGGCCTGCGTTGTAAGAGCACAGTGTCCAAACACCGTTCATAACAAGGATCCTTCTGTACTGACTCTCATAGTTATTTAATAAGACATGCTGTGACATATTAATGCTTTTTAAAAATCTTTTAAACAACACTATTTGAGAAGGAACTGGAATTTGAGTTTACTGTTATGTGTAACCATGGCTCTGAACAAACTGAGAGAGTGTCTCCTGTGTTTGTATGGATACTGATGCTGTTAAATGTCATTGTCTTATTAACATTTTATATTGTGATTGTTATGCTGGTGTGTTGTGATGCGTAGTGAGAATGTCTGTTTTTGTTTTGCCATAGCTAACGGGCTTTATAACCAAACAAACAAACATCCCCGAGAAGTCACACGACTTCTGTCCTCTTTCCTGTCTCCTTCAGTGATCATGGCTGCAGTTGGAGCAGAGGTCATCAGCTCGTGGCTCCTGTCACCAGGAGTCGCCGGGTTCTTCATCCTCCTCCTCCTCGCCGTCTTCCTCACAGCTCTCTGCAGCGACTGCAACAGGTTCTGTCCTCCACATGAGTACAGTTCAAAGTACAAGTCTGGTTATATTGTGTATATCTATCGCTGTGAACAAACCCCATGTGCAGATCACAAACCAACCCTGAACCCTCTATCATGTCCTTATCTCCCTCCTCCCTTTGGGCCACAGAGCTCCACTGGTCCAGACACCAGTAAACCCACCAGTGACCACACTGCTGCACTGGCTGACAAGTTCCTCCATCACCATGAACACACACTGGAGGCGATTCGGAATTAGTCCCACACACACCGTCCTGCTGCCACAGATGCTCACTAGAGACCAAATGTGGACTCATCCCCCGCTGAAAACAGTCCCCAGCACATGCGAAAGTTTTAAAAAAAGAAACTTATATATTTAAATGTGCAGGAGTAAAGCAAATTTATTTAAAATGGTGTCCCAAAGCAACAAACGCTCCCAGCATTTTGTTTGGTTCAGTAGCTGCACCACTGATTGCAGTTGCATTGCATTCTTGGAGCCCAGGACACTGGACGCCAGTTCCCCAGCTGTAGCCAGTGTTCTTCACGTTTTAACACCTGACTCTGCTTTCTTTGTTTTCTAGACGTACATTTGAGCTGTCAGATGCAGAAGCAGATAAAAATCCTCCACAGCTCATCAAAGTGGTAGGAGACGCTTTCTACTGAGCTTCCCACTTTTATCCTGAGTCAATAGAGCCGTGCACAGGA